AAAAGAAGCTATTATCGTTAATTTATCAAGTATGTGTTAATTAATTTTATTTCGGTTTTCTAAGTATATCAAATCACTTACCATATAATTTAACAAATTTTATTGGTTTTGAATTTGTCAACTAGTTTGTTCGCTCACAATTTCTCTTAAGAAGTTGGAAGGAAGTATATCAGATATCGAAATTCTCGTACCATTGGAGAAATTCCTAAGGAAAATTATGACATGTGAAAATTTTTCTTCACAGCTCTTGTCTTATAAAATGTTCATAGTTAATGAAATTTAATATTTTTTAGTGATATAGATATAGTATGAAAAGTTTTCTATTCACAATATTCATTGAATTTTTTTTCTTTCAATTCATCTTCATTTTTATTCAAATAGAAAAAAACTTTGTCACAGGCCAATGAACGTTATATTGCGATATTTGATATTTGTTCGAACTCGAAATGAGGTTCATTTCAACTTTTCCATAATAAAATAAATATACATGTAAATATATATAGATAGATATATATGTAGATGTATTTATTTATTAGTTGGGTTTTTTTTATGAATTGTGATTGATAAGCTTCGATCAGGTGTAAAATCGGCGGTTTCTCACTACACTAGATACATTACGTAGACTGTTGGAAGCATGCATTCAAATTGATGAGTTTACACGGATTATTTTACATAGATACTTTAACATAAATGCTTTAAAGAAACATTTGCTAGTTATTCGTATTGATAAGAAATTTTAAATTTTAATGTTTACTTTTTTAAAATTAAATAAAAAAAATTTTTTTTATAGGTGTTATGGGTGAGCCATCAGTTAAGAAATTATTTGATACTTTAAGTTGTTCACTGCGGTTTAAGCGTTTATAATCAAGAAATTTTAGGCGTCACCAAGTATTAAAACTAAATATTAATTACTAATGCCGAAGTTAGGAAAATTGGAAAACAGAATGCAGTGGCGTTTTGTATGTTTTATGACCTATAACATTACTAGATGGGATTAAACCAACATTATGCAGTTAACTGAAATAACATGGAAATTTAGAAAAAAGTAATTACTAATAAAGAATCGCTTATTTATATTTTGTTTATTTCATCGTTATTTATGCATCATTGATACATTATTTTTAAAATATTGCAATGCTTACTTGGTACTGAGCTATTCCAACGAGGCTTCAACATTTGCTGATTAGCGTAGTGTACAAAAATTGTCACGACGAAGAGGGGGTTATTAGCGTACTGTACAAAAATTGTCACGACGAAAAAGGGATAGAAATAATCAAACATTTCTTTAAGAACTACAGAAGAAGAGATTTCTGGGCCAAGGCTGTCTAAAACACGATCCATAGACCGCATGTAGCCCGCTTATAATATTTGTGCGATCCGCGACATATTCTATGTATGTAATCTGTCACAATTACGCAAATTCTTCTTTAGTAAATTTTGGTAAAATTACTTAATTTAATTGTTACGGAATCCTAATTAACAAATTTGAATGAATAAATTAATAAAACTAAATTTAACATTACCGTCGTATTTTACTTCTATTTATTTATTTATTTTATATGTTTCTGCGGCCCTTCAATCTGTACAGTAGTTTGTATTTGTATTGCTACGCGATCTTAACTCATCTGTGCAGTCTTGATCTAAGCGATTGTGTCTTCGTGAGTCTAATAGAGATAGCAAACTTGGCTTATTGATTTTCCTAACCTTCTATAAGAAGATTAAATGATTTAATCTGAAAAGCATATGGATTTAGATTGGAAACAACGGTTAATGAAGGCATTATAAATAGCAAAAGTTATGTTCGAGTAGAAATGTTGAACTTGTATTAACTGTAGTCCCTTCAACCTAACCTAATCAAATGAATTATATACACTCAGATTATTCAAAAAACTTTAACTGTATAATCTGTTAAGATGTTAAAGAAGGTAGGTCATTAAATGAACTTTAACTATATCATGTGTTCAGGTATTAAATATTTAATAATAATAAGTTAGATCAGGGCTGTCGAAAGCACGGCCCGGGGGTCACATGCCGCCCGCGTCTAATGTTTATACGGTAGATTTTTCATCTACCTTAATTACGCAAATTTTTATTTTATTTTTATGGTATACCAAATGAATGAATTTAAATTAATAAAACTAAATTTAACATTATAAATGGTATTTTTTTGTTTCTACGGCCCTCCAATCCTTACAGTGATTTATATTGGCCCACGACAGCATCTGGTCTGGACAGCCCTGAGTTAGATAATCAAATGTTATTACTAAAAACACCTATATAATCTGTTAAGATGTTAATAAATATTAAATTATAATAAATTATTAATTATAAATTAATTTATTTCACACAAGATTCATTTTCAATAAAATTCTTTAGTTTGGAATAAATTTAATTTATAATAATTAAAATCAAGTTAATTAAAAACGCTACTGTTAATGTACAGTAATTGGAAATATATAAATATATGTATATATATATACAATAAATAAACCACAAAGTATGATTCTTTAATACGATATGATATATTATTTTTCTAAGAGTACTGTATCCATACGCGTAGTTATCTATAGTACGATATATCTCTAAGCATGCATGCTCTTATATGTATTAATAGAAAGATTTTGCGGTTACAAGATTTAAGCTTTAATTATAAAATTTGTACTGAAAGTGTTTCCATTTCAAAATTAATGATTATGGCGGCCAATTTGACAGTTAAGTGGCGTGATTTGTTTGCAGCTGTCAAGAGTGCATTGCACGCTCGCGCATAACGATAACGCTTTTGCCTTAAGTGCATGCGCTGGAATTTTTTTGGATCGGTTTCGGGTGGAACTGTTTTTTTTATTTTCGATTTTAATGAGTTCAAGTATTTTGAAATGCAATTAGGAATTATGATTGGTAGACAAATTTGTCAGTAATGTTATGTTTATACACAATACTTTACCATAATTGGAGTTTCACATGTTGCATTTCGTATTGTTGGGGAATGTTCGACATTGGAAGCCTTCAGCATGGTTGGTGGCAATCTGATTTTTGTTATATGTCAAGTGTTTTTAGCTTATTTATGGTAATGAGTTTATTTAAATTTATTTTCAAGTTTAAAGTAAAAAGCAAGTGCTTTTATCGAAAGTATTTTAATTACCACCAAAGTTTATGTTTAATTTGTAGCGAAATACTTCAAAATGATGTGTATTGATGTGTATTCATAAATAATGAAAATATTTGAAGAATATATGTAGTTACATATAAATAGAATTTTTATTCAAACAACTTGAATCACAGTAAAAAAAATATAGCTTTGACATTGTCAAAAACTTCAAATTATTTCATATTTAAATAAATAACAGTAAGCAAACCGTACTTTTTTTTATTGGAAATATTTTTAAAATAATTTGTCAAAGATTTAATTCTCGACGTTAACTATACTTAGACCTGACGCACTTGTATAAACTTCAAGCAACAACAGCGCGTTATGCAGGCTACGCTTATATACAATATTTTGTAACACTACCAATATATCGTCACACTACCGTCACAAGTCTAACTTACAAGATTTTCCAGACAAATTGCAAGTCTAAGATGTACTCAAGTCATATTTGTCATTACCTTAATAATAAAAGAAAATAAGCTATTACCACACGGGCTCAATATGAACACATGGAATGGAACTGTGATTGGCCAGAGTGACTCTAATCTCACTGAAAGCACTGAGAGAGATTAAGACGAATAGGTCTATTTGACATCAAAAAGGCTTTCTCATGCCTGTCAAAATGGAAAACCATATTATGGTTTACAAAAAACAATACAAAGTGGTTATTGATAACCATCAACCATCGAATAGATGAAGAAAAACATGAATGCTTTAAGAATTTGTTGTCTAGTACAATATTTTATTTGATAAATTCATCATATATTCTGATGAAAAAGCAGATATCATAGTAGGGAGTCTGCAGAAACACATTGCCACATTGCTGAAATAAAATACTGCTTTAAAATACCTAGAAGACTAAGCTAAATAGAAGACTAAATAAAATTAAAGGCAGTTTGCATTGCATATTTAATAGAAGGATGAAATGATATATTTAACTTTCCATGAAGTGATCATTACTGCTGAGCAGTAGCTGAACATTAGTATTAAAGTGTTGATTTAAACCATGATTGAGGTTATATTAAGGATGCGAAACTTCAATTAGCCCGATTACTCAATTACAAACTGTAGAGAAAGAGGGGACCAGAAGAATTCTATAAGCACTATGGTATATTAGAAAAACTGATCTATAAATGGATGCAAAAATAGACTTTATCAAAAAGTGTATCCGATTCAAGACTTTAAAGCTTTTTTAAAAAACAGATGAAACATGAAAATGAGACCTCACGCATTTTCAAAACTAATAAAGCAAACGTGAAGAAAGTGAAGAAAAACAAACTGACCCAAGTAATTTAACTTTATAAATTATGGACATTAGTCTAGAACAGCGTTGGCGAATTTTAGGTGTGAACCAAAATATGTTACTTAGTATGGCATATGCGGCCGTATAGCATGGGAATCTTTTTACATATTAAAAAAATGTATAAATACCAGGTTTTGTATACATAACCTATATAAACCTATAATAATTTTTACCATACACCTATAGAAAAATTCGCCATCGTTGATTAAGAATAACAATAAAAGCATAGATTAAAATGGTCACAAAAAAGTGAAGTGAAGGTGCTGGAAGATATAAACTCCAGAACATTCAATATACATAAAGCAACTCTGTCAGTTTACGAGTAAAATACTAGCAAACTTACTCTGATTCTTACTCTGATTATAATCAGGGTAAGAGAAACTTAAGTCTCTATAAATAGAACGCACAGCAAAAAACTGGCTGCATTGGCCATAAAATTTGATTTAAGAAAATAAGAATTTTATATTTATATTTTTAATATTCTAATTTATAAACAATTATATATATATTTCTTAGATTAGTTCTAATATTGTTTCAAAATTTTAATTTTAGGCTTTTGATTGGTGCTCCTTTGGATAAAAATCTGCAGCCTGGCACAAATCAGACGGGCGCACTTTATAAATGCCCGATAACACAAGATTTTAATGACTGCGTCCAAGTGATAACAGATGGACGAAGATGTGAGTTATAAATAATTCCCTTTTAAACTATTTTTAAATATATACAGTATAGGGCTAAAATAAAGAAAAAATTTGTAAAAATAAATTTATTAATCTTGTGGAACTAATGAACTTACAAAAAAGCAATTTATATTATTCAATTTAACTATTGTAAAAAGATTATTTTTTAATTAAAAATATTAAAAAATTGTAAATGTTTATTTAAAAATATAAAAACTCCTTTTAACGGTGAAGGTACTTATTTAATAAAATATATTTATGTTCTTATTTTTTTTAAAAAAATTAAATATATACTATAAATTAAAGTATTAAATGTATTAATTAATGAATATTTTATATATAATTTTTATTAAAAAATTATTTAGAAAAATTTATATATCTTGTGTTCGTCAAATAAAATATTTGAATTTGTCCAATTGTGTAAATAATTAAATAATTAATTTCAAAGTAGTTATATAGAAGTTTTGTGTTTTCGAAAAATTTAATAAAAACGTAGTTTGATAATTATGTTTTTATTTGCGTTAGAATTTATGAATTTTGTCAATAATAAAATTTTTTTATATTTTTAAAAAAGCAATATTGCTGACTTATACTGTATAGATATTAAAATTGAAATTGTGACTAAAACATTACTTAATTAATGCTTTTAATTTGAAGTAAATTTTTTTGATGAAGTAAACTGTGTGAAGCTAATTTTGGCAAATATAATGTAATATGAATATCAAAAAGATATATAAACGTACTAAAAAAAAATCTATTAATAAGTTTATATTTATAAGTAATTAGTACGACTATTTAAAGTTAGTAAGGTCACTACAAAATTGAGAATTATATTTTTTTTCGTTATTTATATTTATAATTACTTCAGCTCCATGACTGGTTGATTAGTTTTCGTAATTTGGTGCCTATCAATAAAATTCTAATTGAGCAGTACTATAATGTTCTTACTGTGTTCTAGACCCTCACATGTTTGCATAAGTACTAGATACTTTTCATTACTCATAACTATCTCTAAATACCATATACATGCGACATAACCTTAAACGATATAATATGAAATGTATTCTTATATGTCTCTTATAAATCTTTTATTGAGATTCTAATGTTGTTTCAGAAGCTTAGCGGAATGAAAGCACTCATATGTCCTACGAAGACAGAAAATAAGAAAATAGAAGAGAAATCGCAGTAATTCAAATATATTATTGTTTAATTTGGATATTGATCAAATTTAGTAATAAACAAATGGTAGATATAGATTCTTACAAAGTTAATAAACGCCAGAATTATTGACATATATCTTTTATGTCGAAAGCAAGTCTCTACAGGAATAGACAATATTTTGCCTCAATAATCAATATGAGAATATAATCAAATGAGTTATCCTGTTTCATACTGTTTCAGATCAAAATTAGTTTATAATACTTAATATTAAGACAATATTTGCCTCAATAATCAATATGAGAATATAGTCAAATGAGTTATCCTGTTTCATACTGTGTCAGATCAAAATTAGTTTATAATACTAAATATTAAGAAAGCTTTTCAACTTTTAGATATAGACACTAACGATCACGTTTACTTTCAAACGCTGTATTTTGTCACTACAGATCAACTAATCTAATAAAGATCAGATTTTATCAGAGGTTTAGATTAACGCTCAAAAAAATCGTGTATGCTTATATTTAAAAGACAGTATTTTCTGTACTAGACGATTTTACTATTATAATGAACGGTATCTAAGATTAATTTAACGTAATAGTAAGTCCAATTTTTACCTCTTATTATATTTTTGAGAATATATAACTTAGAATTAAAGTTTTTTTAGGAATATTTAGTGATTATTAGTGTCCTGCAAGGATTTTTAAATGGACATAATTTAGATATGGTCATATTATGTATCATATTGTAGTTTAATAATGAAAACATAATAAGACAAGTGTTTTCAATATTATTAAATACAAATATAATAATAAAATTATAATTTTAAAAAATATTTTGCCAAAATTATGCTTTTGTCATATAGTCAAAAATTATTTTTATATATATTTATATATGAAAAATTAAGAAAAATTCATTGATTTTATTTTTATTTTAATTTTTTTTCTTTTTTTCCTTCCTAAAATTATATAACATCATAATCGGTACGAATGTGGATTCATAAACATATCAACATATATATAAAATTTTGAAAAAAAAAAACAAAAATTAAAATTAAAAAATTTTTGTAATGTAGCGCCTGGCGGAGCTTATGAACCTTGTAAGTGGTATGGGTGCTTTATTTGTTTTAAAAGTTAACCAATTTTTTTGTTAATTTTTCTAATATAAAATCTCACATATTTTTGCTATTCTAATTTTTTAATTTTTAACACTTGCACTAAAGTTTATTTTTCTGAATTGGTTAATTGCACTTATTTTGAAAAATCTAAAATATTATTTATACTTTTTTCACAACTTTAATTTTCCGAAAGCATGAAAATCTTTTTAATGTTGTATATAAATTTTTCTTTCTTCTTTAAATTAAATTTTAAAATTTATTGCAAAATTGTTTTAATATTTTTTAGTGCTTTTTTTCTTACTTAATTCTTAAGTGTAACTACAATATTTGTTACTAAAGATTTATGTACATATTTATTTTCATGATATATATATTTATACATATATATGTATATATGTAAATGATTTAGTTCTTTTTTGTTCATGTAAATAAATACTAATAAATATAAAAAAATATTTAATGAAAAGAAATAAAAATTGTATCTAAAGCACTTCATTCACAGAATTTATTAATAAATCATTACTATTTTAATTAAATTTAACAAAAGCACATGTGACAAAAATTTTTCATTTTTAACAACTTCATCTAATTATGATTTTAATTTATTTTATTTTTTTTCCTTTTTTATATAAGAAATTTATTCAAGATACATATGTCACGTTCCATAAAAAAACGGCGCCCACAAAAAATTTGATCCAAATTGCTCGCTCTAATTAACTTTTTGGTAGTTGCTTCTTAGAATTTTGTCTAAAACCAAAACCGTGGAGTATAACAAACTTAATTAGTAACAAATTGGGAGCACACTCTGATTATTAGATTATTTTTAAACATATAAACTGAGATGAAGAAAAAGGCTTTGAAATAATGTTATATACAGAGCATAAGTATTTTTACACATATTTTTAGAAAAAATACGGTCCTATATTTATAAGCTATTACTGCCTCAAGATATAAAAACAAATGCTGTAATTATTATGATGTTCACTTTTTTGATTAGAAAAGCATATGATTATGTATGAAATTCTGATCTCCTGAATGAAACGAGGACCTACTGCTATTAATTTAAATGAAAATATTTTATGGGAAAAAGTAACAATATCATGTTATGAACACCTTGAATCCTTTAATTCGCTTTCAATTGTTCTTTTGCAAGTCATGGCTAGCGCACTATTTATCAAAGAACTTGGAGATTCCATCTTAGTGCCTGTCGAGCAATATTGCTCTATGATCTTCTTTATATGTATTCCATGCAGCTCCATTTGCGTTTCTGAACTTCTTCTGTTTTTCTAGTTCGATCTGTCGGTTCCCTCAGATCGATATTAAATATGCTCTGGAACCAACAGTTTCAATAGACTCTTCTGAAGCGTTGGTTTGTGACAATCTGAATGCAGCCACATCAAATTTGTCGTTTTTTTTAGTAAAATGAACAATGGAGTACATTGCCCAGAAGTATATCGCCTCAATTCAACTTATGTCAAAAAATACTATTGTTAGTGAAACCAAAGTTGTTTGATAAAGACAATAATCACATATATCAATAATAATTAGTTCAAGTTATTTTTCAAAATCTTTAAAAAACCATTAGATTTTCTATGAACTTCTGGTAAAATCAGTTAAAATTTCTTAAAGTTTCAATTTTCTATATTAAAGATTGAATCAATATTGATTTCAATATCCGATACGAATCCAATGATTTTTGGTCACATTCACTATGGTTTTTAGTAAATAATTCTTCAATACTTTAAAGAGTTCATTTGATATTTCATGCTCAAATATGTCAAATATTGATTGAAGGATAATTGAGATGTATTTGCTTACACAATTCATATAAACCTATACTCAAATTGATTGATTGATTAGATATTTTGATATTGTTTGGATATAAATAGGCCTTTTAAAGCTTCTTTATGGGCTATTATGATAGAAATATTTTTAGTTAATTTATATTGTTTTAATATTAATTTTAGTGAGTTTCAGAAGTATTGTAATAACTATATTTAATTACTGAAGAGGTTTCAAGAAGTAGTGAATTATAACAACAAAAATTCTTTTTATATTATCTTAATTAATTGCATTTTTGACTGACCATACAGCTCTTATGAGTATTGCCAAATACCCATCGTCAGTGGACATACCACAATTTCAATTTAAATAAAAATAGTCACTACTTTCATATTCACGGTAATATCAAATTTATATTTAATTACAATATATGAAACATTAGTTTGAGCCCAGTGTTCAAACATTCAGTTTAATTCTTATAGTACTCTATGATTCCTTATAAAAAAAATTAGTCTATAATTAATGTTCTTCTACAATGTGAAGATTTATAATAAATTCCTCTCCCATCTTAGTATATTCTATATTTAAGTATGAATATATATTAAAACGCCTGTTGGAACTCCTTAAATTCTGTTGCTATGAATCATTTATACAAAAATGATCAATTAAATTTATAAAAAATTGCGTCTAGAGGCACCCAAAACTGAAACAAATTAAAATTAAAAATAAAATTGAAATGTTTTGTTTTTGTTTCATAAATAAATACGAAAAATGTTTACAATTAAATGAGGCATGAACTGGATTAAACATACCAAATATGCATAAAGCCTCGATTCAAAGCGACAGACTCCAAACAAGCGTGCGAATGATTAACAAAACAACAATGAGAAGAATGAAGACGAGCACTACTGCTACCCAACCCAACCCAGACTATAAAATAAAATAATCCACGCGAAAATCCCTATGATGCGCTCTACAATTAAAAAACACAAAAGCAACAAAAAAAACCAAATAAAAATTTATCTCAAAAAAGAGTTAAAGATGACACCAAACTTCAACGCCAACAACAACCACACGAACAGTAAAAGAAATCAACTGTATCTCAGCGCCGAGTAAAAACAAACTGGGAATGAGTTTGCAGTATTAGCGATTGTTTGGTGGACTGTCAAGCTGTGTTTCCCCTAAATTGTGTGATCTTGTTCGCCATTTCGTTGCGCCAAGTATTTTGGATTAAAGTTTTAAAAAATGCAGTGTTTGTCACTGCGGCGTGGCTACATAAGTTATGATCTGCCGCGGTAACAGAAGACAAAAATATCAGCGATACTACCTACAACAATAACAATAATCATAACAACAACACTTTAAACGTCACATACTTTTTCTTATTGTTGTGTTTTGTAGGTATTGTAGATTACGAGCTGTAGTCACTCGCCCATTCCGCCGATCGACACTGAACAAATGTGGCAGTGGAAGTTCATAAAAGTCCCTTGGAAAAATGGAACAAAAAGCGCTGAAATAAAATTGAACTGAAAACGCATGGAGAGTTTAGTGGCATGAAATCGAAATCGAATGGAATTAGCTGTAGTGCATATAGAGTGGAGCTAATGCTACATACGAGTGTACAGAATGTATGGAGTAAGACCATGGGGGCCAAGTGCAATACATAAAAACATGAACAGGCAGTTTCTTGCGCCTCTTTTTTCCGCGGTTATGTTACTTCTCTTGAGGTCATATGTTGCATACATTAAGTGCGAAATTTATGTGTGAGACAAGACATTTCAAAACAACGCCAAACGCTAAATAACAACTCACACGAAAAACGCAATTCATTTACGCCTTTCGAACTGAAAGATCTGCTTCAACAAAAGATAGAAATTAACATAAAAAACTAGAAACTCCTAAATATGAGGCAGAAATGTGTGTGTGTGAATTCCTACTATAATTTACACTTCATTTTTAAGTAGAAATATATTTACTGCACTGTTGTATGTTTTTTAGTCAGAAATTGCTAAATATAATTGAACTGATGTTCCGTAAAATTAGCAATATAGATTTTTTTATTTTTTGTTATATTATTTATGTGACTTTTTGTATTAACATCTCTCTGAAAAGATTGTGGACAAGTTGTATAGTTGAGATTTGCATAATAGACTTGAAAATTGATTTCACAGGTATTGCTTTAAGTATTTCCATAACCTATAAAAATAATTGCATTTAAGCGCTTTTAAAGCATAGATTTTTTTTATTAGACATGAATATATTGTATAAGGTATATATGAATTATATTATCTTAGACGCTGAGAATCAGAATATAATAGAAATATATAGTAGTATTGTGGTAGTACTGTTCGGTTAGAAGTTTCACGTAAATATTCCAAATATCCATTAATAATCAACAAAGTGAAAAGATGTGTCCCACCATTGCCACCACTGTGTACGCATATCTCTTAATATTTGCCACATTTTATAGCCTACATAAATAGTCCTTAGAAAGACAGTAGAAATTATTCTAAATATCAATTAATAATCAACAAATTAAGAGATGTGTTCCAACATTGCCACCACTGTGTACGCATATACCTATCTTCCACATTTTATAGCCTGCATAAATAGTTCTTACAAGGTCAGTAGAAATTATTATCTCAAATTTAAATAAAAGATATTTTTTACAGGATTTTTCTTTTGTAAATACAAAGTTTTTATTTGTTTCCATTTTTCCATGTCCATACTTTAAAGCCATACTTGTATATAATGGTTGATAACGATTATAGAAACTCAATATACCCCACTTGTAGTTTTCACATTTTTGACAACAGTTTATAACCGAGGATGTCGAAATTGCAAAGTACGCCACATGCCCAGCAGCTATTGTACTTTGTATGCAATCCAAACATGAGAGCACTATCTTAGATGATATACCATCTCAACAAAATGGGCTTATCCGAAGAGATAGATTGTAGACTCTGCTTGGAAGCAGAGGAGACAACCAGCCACATTCTAAGTGACTGCCCAGCTTTGATCTGGGCCAGGATGAGATCACTGGGTCGGGAATTGCTATCACCTTCCGACATTAGGAGGTCCTCAACAACCGATATTTTGGCCTTCAATCGAAAAACGGAATGGGTTTTGTTCAGTTAGGGTCTGTTGTAGCACAAAAGATCAATCATGGTCGCGGTGCTCTGCTCAAATGGGAGCTAGTA